GAGTGCTAATTTGGTCCTTCTTTTCCTATATGTGTCCCTTTAATTTCTTTCATCTGTCTAATTGATCTGGCCAATGTTTCAAGAACTATGTTAAATAGAAGTAGTAAAAGAGGGCATCCCTGTCTTGTTCCAGTTTTTAGAGAGAATGCCTTCAATTTCTCTCCATTTACAATGACATTGTCCTGGGTCTTAGCATAGGTAGTTTTTACAATGTTGAGATATATTCCTGTTTTTTACTACTTGTACATCAGGTAGAGCACTAATCTCTAGGGTATATAAAGAACTCAAAAAGCCAAACACCAAAATAAAATAAAATAAAATAAAATAAAAATAAAACAACCCAGTCAATAAATGGGCCAAGGCAATATGAAAAGCAGTATGGAGATTCCTTGGAAATCTGGGAATGGAACCACCAGCTATCCCGCTCCTGCTCCTTGGCTATACCCAAAAGACTTAAAAACAGCATACTACAGGGGCATAGCCACATCAATGTTTATAGCAGCACAATTCACAATAGCTAAACTGTGGAGCCACCACAGAAAGTTAAAAAATTAACTGGGCTTCTCCAGAAATCTTCACCATGGCTGATTTTAGGACTGTCAGCAAAAGAGTCTCTGCAAAAGAGTTCAATGTAGATAAACTTCCTATATTCCTGTTACCCTGTTTTACTTGGCCACTGTCCGTGAAGATACCAGTACTCCAGATGCTGGACTCCCCCTTACTAGTTTTTCACAAACATATCCAGTATAGTATTTTGAAGAAGAGTGCAAACAAGGCCTTTGGCTTGAGCTGGGCTTCACAGAGAAGTCTATATTTTTAAGATAAGTTACAATTGGGCTTCATGGTAACAGCTGGCAGGGAGAGGAAAGAAGGGGAAAAGACTCTCCCCTTCTTAGGTGTTGTCCTTGAAGGGTTAACTTGCCCAAAACAGTAAATGAAAAAGCTGCTTTTATGTGAATTTTTGCAGACTGTGAACTTCTGAGTCCCTCCCCTTACATGCTGGGTATAAAACTCTAAAACTACATGAACTTGAGGTTCGGGGGATTGATTGATTATAGTGAAAGCTGTGCCCTCTGAACCTGGCTGCAGCAAATTAAACTGTGGAGCTAACCTAGATGCCCTTCAGTGGATGAATGGATTGAAAAAAAATGTGGCATATATACACAATGGAATTTTACTCAGCAATAAAAGAGAACAAAATCATGGCATTTGTAGGTAAATGGATGGTGTTGGAGAAGATAATGCTTAGTGAAGTTAGCCAATCCCAAAAAACAAATGCCGAATGTTTTCTCTGATATAAGGAGGCTGACTCATAGTGGGATAGGGAGGGACAGCATGGGAGGAATAGACAACTCTAGATAGGTAGAGGGGTGGGAGGGGAAGGGAGGGGGCGGGGGATTAGTAGGATGGTGGAATGTGATGGACATCATTATCCAAAGTACATGTATGAAGACAAGAATTGGTGTCAACATACTTTATATGCAACCAGAGAGTGAAAAATTGTGCTGTATACGTGTAATAAGAATTGTAATGCATTCGGCTGTCATTTATTTTTTTTTTTTTTAAATCAATAAAAAAATGGGTCATAGAACTGAACAGATACTTTTCAGAAGGTGATATACAATCAACCAACAAATATATGGTAGTAAAGAGTGAGGGATGCTGTGAACAAAGTAGACCTGACCTAGAAACGTGTAGATAAATTATTCAAAGAACAGAGAATGTGTGCAAGCCAGGAACAGAGGCATTGCTACAAACCAACCCTGCCAGCCTCCCTCTTGATCTTGGCATTTCATCCTCCAGTCTGTGGTAAATAAATTTCTACCACAATGAAAAGTAAAGCTTGCGGGAGCTTTGAGCCCTCTCTAGAATGTTTTTCTTTATCTAGGAGGCCAATAGGGGACCACTGCAGGTGCAAAAAAATAGTGTCCTGGCCATAGTTAGATTTTAGATATATGAAACCGCATGCTGTCTGTTAGTTCCGTCAGAGTGGGAAGCAGTGAAAGACTGGTAAGTCAGTTTAAGGACAAGTACTAAATTTAGACAAAAATGTACTGAGAGCCTGAACTAAGATCATATCAAAATTACATGTATTTGCTTATAACACACCATACACTATTATCAACAGAAAATATCAAAATGAATATATTGTCTGGAGCTCATGAAAATACTGTCATGTGTAGACCTTGGAAGTTCCAAAAACAAAGAGGTCTCTATTCTAATATTGAGTGAGTAGGGAAAAAGAGCAAAGGCACTCTGGGGCCTTGGCTCAGGCCTGACAGCCATTAGAAGCTTCCACCTTAACTCGTAGTTTGCCAGATACCCAAAGTGCCTCATTTATTCACCCCTAGATAGTACAAGGTGCATCATTAGAGACAGGTGCTTTCATGTCACTCATCCTTATCACAGGGCTAGGGTTCTGGAGTTAAAGTGCCCTCCCAGGTTGACATACACCTAAGGCCAACTAACTTTCCTAAACCCCAGCCCACCCTTGCAAGTGGCCAGGAAACCTAGTTACTTTCTTTGATCCAGCGAGCCAGCCTGATACTCATTTGTTGAAGCCATGCCTCCCTTCTCCAGAAGAGCCCTAATAAAAGCTCTGCCTCTTATGCATACTCCCATGACTCAATTCCATTTCCCTCATCAGTGTGTCAAAGTTTCCAGTGTCCAATATTGATATCAGGGGCAGCAAGGCAGAGGTCATTTAGACAGGGCTTGCCATAGTATAAGCTAGGAAATGGTGGCCATATTGCCCAACATTTTTTACAGTAAGAAACCCTCAGTGCTCCAGGTTCTAAAGCCAAATAAGTCTCCCATGACTTTTTTTGCAATTGTTCAGCAAATAATGATAAAATAGAAAGGAACGGTGGGATTCAAATTAGGAGAATGAAATTTGAAACCCTGATCTGGAATCTTCTAGCTATCAACCACAGAAATACTATTTAATCGGTTAAATCTCTCTTCTCTATCCCCAATCAGTAATATGTGGGTAAATATTTAACCACTGACTCTCCAGGAAAAAGGAAAAAAGCCATAGTTCATAGATTTTCCAATACTGTATTTCCAATACTCTCATCAATTTCAGGCTGTCAATGTGTGTCAACCAGCTCACTCATTCCCTAAAAATTTACCAATTGATTCTCACGAGCCGGCATGAGCCAGTGCTAGCACACCAAAGCTCACATCTGAAGAATGAGAACCATGCCAACTCTACAAGTCAGGACAGAGATAAGTTAAAATGCCTAAAATTCAGGGTCATTAGCCTATGTAAAAGCTTTGATAACTATTTATTCAATAGTTAATCAGCACCTTTTATGTAGCACATTTTCACAGGAATTGAAGATTTGGCAAGAAGAGAAAAAAGGAAGGGTCTGCTCACTTGAACATGATGTTCTATACTGGGAGAGATAAACAAAAACAATAAAAAAATAGACAATGGTTGGATGGAAGGTAGAGTGATAAGTAGAGAGGTTATAGGTAAATGGATGAATTAATAAATGGAGAGCCTCCGTCAGTCTGGTAGAGATACAGCCAATGGAGAAAAGTCAAACAAGGATAAGGGGAGAGGGAGGAGTGGCTATACTATATTGATATGGTGGCCAAGAAAAACCTCACTGGTGAGCCACTTGATGGGGAGCATGAGTGGAATGAAGGCATGAGCCATGGGGTTATCTGGGGAAAGTTTCCCAGGCAGGAGGAGATTGCATGCCAAGCCCTGAGATAGGCAGGGGCAGGGAGGCATGCTCCAGGGACCGTGAGAGGCCAGTGGAGTGGGGGCACCCGAGTGACAAAACAGGAGGAAAATTCTGTGGGATCAGAATTTAGACAAAGGAACAAAGTTACTGTGTGGCAGGAGCAGAGGTGAGGCAGGAAAAGGGTCTCAAAACTGGCCAAGTCTTAGGAGTCTTTACACCCTGGAGACATGGAGGTCAGTGTCCAGGGAAGGACAGGGCTGGAGTTCTTCTCCCTCACCTTCCCTAAGTCAGGAGGAACTGCTTACTCTGCTGGTGCAACCTCATTCCTTCATGTTTTGGCCACTCAAGTGTTTACACAAATGACAAAGATGAACCCAATGGCTTCCATGAGTCGGCACTACTCACAGCTCTGGAGATACAGGCCCTACCTGGCCATCGAGGGAGCCAGAAAGCATTGAAACAAAAAATAATTACATTGCCTGGGCTATGAGACAATCAAATAAGTGGGTTGGCAGATTTCTACTTCCCTAGATATAAAAATGTTCCTGGGCCAGGATCCCGTGGTCACCTAAGGTGTAAAATGTCCCCTGTCCCTGTTCTGGCATAGCACTAATTAGTAATAAGTGACATTGCTCCAAATGAATGGTGTAACAGCGACCAAAGGAGGCTGACAGCATCTCCAATGAATCCAGAGAGCCCCAACTGTCCCCCACATAGACTTTTTTGAACCAGCAGGTTGAAAAAAAATGTCCATGCTTTGTGTAACCAAAAAATCTCAAAGATGAGAGGTTTTCATTTGCTTGGTTTGTTTCTATTTTTTGTTCTTAAATGTGGTGCATAGTACGCCTACCACAAAAAAATCATCTGGGATCTTTAGTAAAGGAACTTCAAATTTCTGGGCTCCACCCAAGAAATGTAAATCAGAATAAACGAAGAAAGATCTCAAGAACTTGCATTTTCAAGAAACTTCTAAGTAAGGTTGATGCTACATTCCTGATGTTTGAGATCCACTGCTTTGAAACAAAAGTAAAGTGCATAAGACTTCTTTTCATTTCAATTCTAAAGGTCTCCACAAAGAGTGCTAAAGAAAGCTCTTATGTCAACTTCCTCTTCAAAAACTCTACAGAAGCAATCAAAAGCTTTGTTTAGGCAAATGCACTGGGAGATAGAGTCCTCGTGATGGAACCATCCCATCAAGGGATCCATTCATTCAAATGATCCCACGTGCAGAGACACTGGCTGGCTTCCACGGAAGTGCCTTCCTGTCTGGAGAGCTGAGGAGAGACTTTCTGGAATATTCCCTACCTGTAAAGAGGGCATGGTAGTGGAGGCCCTTCTCCTTGTCCTGATGGGAGCAGACATCAAATAAGTACGCTTTGATGGGCCCATCAATGAAGTCAGCAGCAAAATCAAAGAGAACCACACCTATCATGGTGACGCTTATGGCCCAAACCAGCTTCCTCCTTGGATTAGCAATCAAAGCTAAAAGAGAAATAAACATCGTTCTCCTCAATCCTGCTTTAGAATGACCCATTTAAAAAAAATTGTTTTTTGGTGCTGAGGATTTGAACCCAGGGCCTCATGCATGCCAGGTAAGCACTTTACCACTGAGCCACATCCCCAGCCCTGATCCGTGTTTTTTATTTTATCAAAACTTTCTGTCATCAAATCGTCTTCCTCTGCTTTGTTTTTCCAAATAAAAATAGCTTCATTACCTTTTCAAGTTCTGAAAATTATGCAAGTGAATGTCCCAAAAGACAGAAAGTGAATGAGTGATTGTCTAGGGCTGGTGTTTAAAAGGATTTGGGAAGTTGCTGTCAATGGGTCATGGGCCTCTTTTGGGAGTAGTGAAAATATTCAGAAGTTACAAAATGGAAAGGGCTGCACACCTTTTGAATATACCAAAAAGCATGGATTATGTGCTATTAAATGAGTTTTCTGGGGTGTGAGTGAATTATATTTCTTTAAATTAAAAAATATATACTTACTGTAAACAATTTCAACAAAATAGAAAAAAAAAAACAGCAACAACTAGAAAATGCTTCAGATCCTAGCCCCAACCATGGTTATCCTCTGGGACATCCCGTTATGTGCTTCCACACATCCAGATCCAGGTGTGCAGCTGTACTCAAATGCACTGCTTCTGAAACTCCGGCATGCTTGACATCACTTGAACAAGCCTCAGTTCTCAAGATTCTGATTCAACTGACCTGGGGTTGGCCTGAGAACTTGCGTCTCCAACAGCCCCTAGAGATGTTGACGCTGCAAGTCATAGGGCCATACTTTTGAATAGCACCGTTGAATAAGATCATAGGGTGCATACGTGTCCATCCTCAACCAGCGATTCTCATCTTTTCACCGCAGTTAATGAAGAGCAACCTCATAATTTTTAATAGCTGAATAATATTCATTCTATGCTTGTGCTGTCCTTCCTTCTCTCAATCTGCTATGGAACATACACTGTTGTTTGCCTTGCTTACAATTTTTTTTAAGCTAAGGATAGTGTGTAATATAGGTACATATTTACAAAATTTCAGTAAAAATAAGTGAAAAATAAGCCTACCCTCCCCTTTCACCTCTAGTCCTTAGCAGTGACTATATTTACCAGATTATTTTTTGTTATTTTTCCATACATATTGTATATTTATGAGTTGAATTTATGCCTTCTTTTCAGTATATATAAATGTTTCCAGATTATCCTGTTTCTTATTTACCCATCTGCTGTCCTGGGAGTTGATGGTCTAAAAATGTATGGCCTTTGTAATGTTTAATGATTCTTTTTTCAATGTCCTACCACCAAGAACTGATTAATTGGTAGCGGATTAATGACTAGAAAAAGCCTTTTAACATCAGATTTGTGGTTGTCCAGAATTTGCAATGCAAAAATGTTCCCTTGAACTGACAGGCTAATGCCCTGTATCCATTAAGAGGCTCTTCGTAAGGTAATGAACAAATTAACTCTTATTTGAACATACAGGCAATTCCTTGCCAGTGTTTACAGAGCCATTTGGGCACCGATCAATTTGACAAAGTATTCTACAAAGCATACTGGGCTCAAAAAATAAAATTAAAAACTCCATTGACAAGTAGGTACAAATATTTAATTTGATAAAGTAGATAAAAATTCAGTCCTATTTTTAAATCTTCACAGCAAGACAGGACAATACATGCTGAGATTCTGAAAGTAAAGGCTCCTCACGATTTTGGATCATTCAAAGGTAGAAGTTCATTGCAGCCTAGGAGAGACCATCAGTTTTAACCAGTTTATATTAAATGTCAAGAACTTCACATTCTTTTCCTATAGCATTGCACAACAGCACCTTGTGCCGTCCACTTACCTGATACTACCGCATCTCCATTTAGGTACAGCGCCATGCCCACGAGCATCATCATGACCAAGGTGAGGATGTAGGGTCTCCGGCGGCCCCAACGGGACCGGCAGTGGTCACTTGCTGATCCCACCACAGGTTGCAGGAGGAATCCCAGGATGGGGCTGAGGAGCCACACCGTGCTGTACAGACTCTTGGGCAGGCCCACGCTGAGCAGGACCGGGGTCACATAAGCTGCCTCCACTGCATAGCAAAACTCTCGGCCGAACATGACCATACTGTGCATGATGAGTCTGCCTGTGGGTCTTCTTGGTAGCGTCGCAGATCCCAAGAGGCCATCCTCAGTTAGGGATTGATAGGTGTGGCTGCCAGCCTGCCCACTGTCGCTGCCCATTGCAAAGGGGTGAGATACCTTTCTGCGTAATCCCTGGGTTTGGGCTCCAAACTGTATTTGATATGGAGCCTGGCTGAGCAACAGGCGGAGATGGCTAGGCTGGAGGAGGGGCTCAAATTCTTTCATGCCTCTAAGATCACAAGTTATGACGAGAGGGAAAGGGGGTGTTGGCCCTGAAAAGCATGACGGAGATTAGCTGCTGAGAGCCCTCTGGCTCCTTACAATGCTTGAATGTTTTCCTAACGAGATCTTCCTTTACACTGTTCTTTCTCAATTTCTCTCTCACACACATACCATATTTCTTATGATCACATCCACAGTTTTGAGATAAGTAAGTCTTATTATACCGGGGTTAAATCAATATATAAATAAGTCAATCTTTTTATAAACTTATTTTTATAGATAAAAATATTCTGTCTTTTCTACATACACACAGCTCAGAAGTTAAATAACCAGATTTAAGATAGCATGTGTGGTTCTCATCTTTCCTCGAAGTCATTACCTGCCTCATAGTGCCCTAATATGTCCTTTTTGCACTTGATAAATTCTATAATTAGATAGTTCTGTGTTTGTTCTATAGCATTTTGTCAATTAGTTTTTTGTTTTTTGTTTTTTTTTTTTAATTCTCCTTGAGGGCAGAGAACAGGTCTATTCTATAATAGCTCCTTAAGGTATTCCCAGCATCTAGCATGATACCTGGCACCTGGTAGGTCCTCAATAAATATTTGCTAAAGCAATGATTGAACAAATAAAATATGTACACTGAATTTGGGAATGCCGGCCAACAGTCTTATTTGTTACATTTATCCGTCCTGTGCCTTGTGTCGTATAGGACTATATTTTCCAGGTTCACCTGCTCTCTAGCTTCTGTGGAAATTTGGCTAATGGGAGGCCTCGTATCCCCGCCATTTCCTTTCTCCATCCTCAGGTGGCATATTAAATTCACTGTTTCAAAGGTTTGGACTGGGTCATACCTTCCTTGCAGGATCCTGAGTTCAAATGAAAAGTCTTGGCTGGAGAAACGTGATTGTATAGGAAGGGCCTTAAAAATGATTCAAGAGCAGGGCTTGGAGTCAGAATCTTCAAGTTTAAAATCTCATCATGCTTCTTCCTACTCTCACGTCCCTCAACAAATCACTTAATCTGATGTTTCTCAAACTGTGTGCCAAGTCACCCAAGGATTACAGCAAACTCATAGGTGTACCTTGGGATATTTAATCATTTGAACCTAGCAAACGCAGTGCAACAACATCTGTTGGATGGTACATGCTACTAGTGAAGTATTTCATGCTTTTAACCCAGATTGCACTATAATCCTTTCAGTGGTTTCATACCTTGTAAAGTAAGGTTTGCTATAGTCATCGTGATAAAAAGCAAGTACTAAAGGAAAATCAGCATGGGACAGGAGGTGGAGAAGCAGTGTCTGATCTGACTCCAAGGCACAGGAAGCACTGTAGTGTCCAGAAGGTGCCCATGTTCCATTAGTAAATAATTGTAGTGAACAATGAGGAAAAATTAAAATGTCACATTTTCTTTGTGAGTATTATTCAAATATCTAATAAGTAGTTAGGATACAAATGTTTAAGTTGCTTAGACCTAATTATTTGAATGGTTAGGTTTTTCTTTTCTAGGGGTACAACAAAAAAGTTACTGACACAATAAGGTGAGCATAAACTAAGGTGGGGTAGGACATTTTGAGCCTCTGTGTTCTCATCTGTAAAATGGGGAAACCTGCCCTACTTCTCCCTGTGATTATGGAAGAGCAGTTGAGACGCTGCATGCACTGGACCTCATCCACTGTCTACCCAACCTCCAGGCACCATTCCCTCCATCCTGATGGAACTGGGAGTGGATCCCAGAGCCCACACAGCCCTCATGCCCGTGAACTGTCTAGCTTTATCTAAGGGTGATCCTACTTTCTCTGTTAACAACTGGTATAGAAATGGTTTGTGTCATAGTTTGGATATGAAATGTCCCCCAAAGGCTCATGTACTGAAGGCTTGGTCCCCTGTGTGGCAGTGTTCACATCTGGGACTTTTGGGAAGTGACTGGATCATGAGGGCCTGCCTTTATCAGTGGATTAATCCATTAATGTGTGTAAAGTTTGATGGTATTCTAGGAGGTGGTTGATCTCAAGAAAGTGGGGTCTAGTTAGAGTAGGTCCCTGGGGTTGTGTCCATGAAAGATATGTCTTGTCCCTGACCCCTTTCTCTCTCTGCTTCCTGGATGCCATGGTGGGCAGCTTTGCTCCTGCCATACCCTCTGCCATGATGTTCTGCTATACCACAGGCCCAGAATCAATGAAGCCAAGTGACCATGGACTGAAACCTCTCAAACTATGAGCCAAAATAAATCTTTCCTCCTTGAAGCTGATTGTCTCAGGTATTTTGTCACAATAAGTAACACAGTTGGTATGTCAGCTTAAGGAGACACGAAACAGGTTTTGCTGAGGGCTTCTGAGAACTCCTGAATGTTGCTGTGTGTGGATATAAGATCCAGAACTTGCTACCAGCCTGAGGATAAAATTTACACGTGGAGGATGGAAAGTTGGTACCCTGGAGAATTGTGAGAAAACAGGGCCCACATGACCACATTCAGATAAGACTAAAACTCTTGGTTGAGAACCAGAATATTTCCTTCTTGTTTTGCGTTATTTGCCATTGAAGGCATCTTAACTCAATATAGGTCCAAGTGCTTTACAGATTACATGGCAATGTAATTACCACTGAAGCCTGGAATATGCTTAGAGGGAGGATATATAAACACAGTGATCATGATACAATCAGGATGTATCTCATGGACTGGTTTTATTTATGATCTTACAATTTGTGGCATCTCCTCACTTCCTACATGGTAGGATCAAAAGAGTATCAATAAATGTATATCAAACTGTTTGAGAAAATAATTTCACTTTCATCAGAATTTTCCTTCTTTAATTTCACACCTTTCTCTCCTTCTTGAAGTTCCCTGTTTTCTCTTTTCCTGTGTCATTGCCATCATCTAAATCTACAGTTTATCTAAAGGAAACTAACAAACTAGAAACTGCCACCTTTTCTGCACAGGGTCTTCCATCTTCAGAAGGGAAGTGTGGGTCACCAAGAAGAGCTACTAACCTTGCTTACCTTTATTCTTTATTGCTTACATTTATTCTTTAAGTTCACAACCTACACAAAGCAATTTTTAATCTTCAACTTCAAGGAGGAAAGATTTATTTTGGCTCACAGTTTCATTAAGATATTTTGTATAGTTGACTAATCACAGGAATCAATATTCTAAGCTAACCATCTCTTTACTTATAGCTTTTTGTTGACTGGCTTTTATCCTTTCCCTTACCAATCCATTCCACAGATATTTTTCTGAACACTATTATAACAGTAACCCAAGTAAAAAGATTTAGTTCACATCCAATAGGGCAGGCTACTCAAGGTGCAGACTTTGAACCAGAAGCATACTCACCTAGAAGCTTGGTAGAAATGTCAATTCGTGGGTCTCACCCCAGACCCACTGCATTTGAATCTCTAGTGGGGTCCGGGATCTGTGTTTTAACAGAACCTGCAGGTGATCTTTTTGTATACCAGAGCCACTACTCTATGAGTTTATGGCCTACTGAAGAGTTTGGAAACTGTAGTAAAAGCAATTACTATCCTTAGAAATATGAGCAACATGCAATGAGAACTTAGGAAGGGCACTAAAAATAGGCGCTAACAACCACTGAGCACCTAGAATGTGCCAGGCACTACACAGGCATTATGTTCAACACCGTAACAATAGGGTGAGATTTGTACACAGCACCTGAGCGACTCCACAGTTTATAATCACTGTACAAAACTACCCTATGGGTAAGAGTGCAGGAGTTATGCAAAACAAATAAACAAATGAAACAAGCTGTGTTTGAGCCAAGTCTAACTTTGCTAGATCTGTCAACTGCAGCAAAAGCCAGGATTGCTGTTCTTGGAAAATGATGTAGTAGGTGGGAAGGAATGAAAGCCAGAGAGACCACAGGATATTTGGAAACTTCAGGTAGTCCAATACAAAGTGCTGGGGAACAGGAGGGGTGGGAATGGGCCTAGAGAGCTAGGTAAAAGTCTTTTTTTTTTTAATTTGTTCTTTTTAGATATATATGACAGTAGAATGTATTGTGGCATATTATACATACATGGAGTGTAACTTATTCTAATTAGAATCTTATTCTTGCAGTTATACAGGATGTGACATTACCCTGGTCCTGTATTCAAATACAAAGATAGGAAAGTCACATCTGATTAATTCTACTGTCTTTCCTATTTCCCTCCCTCTCCCTTCCATTCATTCCCCTTTGTCTATTCCAATGAACTTCTATTCTTCCTCTCTCCATCCTCCCTTGTTGTGGGTTAGCATCCACATATTAGAGAGAATATTCAGCCTTTGGTTTGGGGGGCACTGGCTTATTTCACTTAGCATGATATTCTCCAGTTCCATCCTTTTACCAGCAAATGCCATAATTTCATTTTTCTTTGTGGCCGAGTAATATTCCATTGTATATATATATATACTACATTTTCTTTATCCATTCATCTGTCGAAGGATACCAATGTTGGTTCCAATGCTTGGCTATTGTGAATTGAGCTGTTATAAACATTGATGTGGCTGTGTCACTGTAGTATGCTGATTTTAAATCCTTTGGGTATAGTCTTATTGTAAAGAGTTGATATGCTTTGTAAATGAGTTTCTATTTTATTCTGTAGGGAAAAAGGGCACCACTGACGAATTTTACAAGACTGAAAAGACCTGTTTGGTGTCAAAAGGATTAGCAGTAGGGGAGCATGGTCAAAAAACAGTGGTTCTAGAAATCAGAAGGTATCAATAATAGTTCAGGGTCTAGAAGGAGAACAGTCACGGGAGTGGGCAGAGGGATGGCTGGGAGCTGTTGAAGTGGAACTGACAGCACTTTGCTATTGAGATGTATTTGTTTAATAAATACTTGCTAATTTTCCACTGTGGGCATGGCCACTATTCTTGGAACTGAAGGTCAGATTGTACAGGGCCTGTGAAGTGGAGGACCGATGAACTTCACACATTCCATCAAAAAGAAGATGGTACAAAGAAGCTGTCCTAGGACTAAGCTGTCCCTTACTAAGCTGCTCGAGA